GCTTTGAGGGTTGCCTTAACAAACCTTAAGCTACAACTGGTGCCTCCAACTCACCACAGCCAGTGGTGAGGGGTGGTTTGCTCTCCCCATTCCCACCTCTCTGGCAGAGCTGCTGTGCTGCAGCACATCCTCCTCAGCAGAAAGAGGAGTAACTCCCCCAAGAGGGTTGGAGCTGGGCCATTTCAAGGGAGGAGGAGGAAGAGGAGGAGGAGGAGGGGAAGGGACGGGAGCGCAGAAGCTCGGTGGGAGCAGAGCGGGAGCGGAGCCGGGAGGAGAAGGGGGACGAGGGGGACGAGGGGCTCCCGGACACCACCGCACACTCCCCCCACCACCACCAAAACCCACCCAGGACCTCCCCCTTTCCGAGAGCAAGAGCCAGCGGTGAAGAGCACCCCAGGTTGGTTGGATCATTTCACATGCTTTATTTCAGCAGTCAGAAAAAAAAATAATTAAAAAAAAAAAAGACAATTTTCAAATTATTATTATTATTATACATATACAAACTAGGTACAGACTCCAGGAGAGCCCGGAGTATCTGCCGGGAGATGGGCCAGCAAACGGGGTGGGTTCGTGCCCCTCCGTGCCCAGGGAGGGATGCAGGGATGCAGGGATGGATGGATGGATGGATGGATGGATGGATGGATGGATGGATGGAGAAAAAGCTGCTGGAAGACGAGAGCGGAGCTGAAGATCCACCTGCTTAACCTGGAAATCAAGGTTGTGCTTTTTTCCCTTTTTTTTTTTCCCCCTTTTGAGGCTTGTAAATTATATTTCTTTTTGGCTCTACCTTGCATTTGCTCCGGGATTTGCTTGCGGGATGGGGTGTTGGGAGCGGGGAAGGGAGGAGGGTTAAATAGCACCTTTAGAAAATTCAGAAGTTGAGCTGGGCAGCAAAGAAAGGAAGGGGGGAAAATACCCAACAAAATAGAGGGAAATTAAAATAAATCAAGCTGAATCGCGTCTTTGGAGGCTGTAGCACCAGGCGGTCCCGGGCTCGGGTGTTGCAGGACCAAAATAAAAGATAATTAAAAAAAAAATAAAACCCACCCCAGGCTAAAAATCCTGTGGGTAAGAAACCTCAGCGACTCCCGAGGGACCTTGAACGGAGGGAAATAAAAAATAAAAGATCAACAGAACAACGAAACAGAGAGGGAGGGAGGAAATATGAACAGAAAAATTAGCACCTTTGCTCTGAACCTGGCAGGAAAGTCCTGGCACGGCTGAAAAAAAAACCAGAAACCACCCCAAACGAACCTAAAACTACTTGAAAATGAAACAGAAATGACCCCAAAATTAATAATAATTAAAAAAATTTTAAAAAAACCCCCCAAAGCACAGCGGTGAGGTAGCCTTCCAGAAAAGGAGAATATGCAGCGAAGGGTCGGGTCTGCTTGGCGGCGGGGGCAGCGGCTGCTCCCCTGATGTGCTTGGGAATGAATTGATTTTGCTGCCTGAATAAAAATAAAATGAGAAAAAAAAAGAAAAAAAATCCAACAAAATAAACAAACAAACAAAAAAAAGAAGAGGGGGAGAAAAGGGGGAAGAGATAGGGAAAACAACAACAAAAAAGCAAATTATAACAGAGAGTTAAACATCTTCCTCGCAGCAAAAAATTAATATCCTAATGAGATGCGAGAAGCGGAGAGGACAGCGGGGAAGGAGGGGCTGGGAGGGGGGGGATTTGGTGGGTCCCAGTTCCCCCGGGTTGAAGGGGGGAGGAATTTGGCACCGCGGGGGGGGCTCGGCACAGCGCTTTCGGTCTTTGGGGGGCTGAGGAGCGCCCGACCCCAAGGAGGAAGAGGAGGAGAGGAGGGCAAGCAAGCGAACCCACTTCCTGGTGATTTTGTTTGAAAAGTCATTTATTTTTTATTATTTTTTTTTTGGTTTAATGCTTTTTTTGGGGGGGGAGGTTTTTTTTTTAAGGTTTTTGTCTTTTATGGAAACGCAAATAGTTTTAGAGACGCTGGATAGAAACCGACACAAATTCAAGTCCATGTGAAATTTTCTCCTTTTTTTTTGGCTGTTTTTTTGGTTTTTTTTTATTATTATTATTATTATTATTATTTTTACTCTCTCCTGTCACGCGTGGGGCGTCCAGTTTACAAGAAGCAGACAGGGCCGATGTCGATGCCGAATTCCTGGTCTGGAGCGCCAACGTCCATGGGAGCCAAATCGATGATGGGCAGGCGAGAAGTCTTCGTCGTCTTGTACTCGATGACTGTCTTGCCCCAAGCGCCGGTGTGACTCTGTGGGGAGGTCAGGATCAGGCCCGTCCCCAAAACACGTCCCCACCACCACCACCGCCGCCACCACCCACCATGACTGCCCCCTGGAGCACTCACCGTGCAGCCGTCCTCGGTGACGGCGTAGGTGAAGCGGCTGTTGCCTTCAGCCCTGATCTCGATCTCATTGGCGCCTTGGAGGAGAAGGGCCTTCTTCAGGTTGCCCGTGTCCTGGTCCATGTAGGCAACGCTGTTCTTGCAGTGGTAGGTGATGTTCTGGGCGGCCTCAGTGGACATCAGGCGGAGGAAGGTCAACTGGATGGCGACGTCGGCTGGGTTGGAGCCCTCACCACCATACTCGAACTGCCGGAGAAGAGGTGTTAGGCACTGCAGAGCTGGTTGTCCATCCCAGTTGTCCCTCCTCAACGTCCCCTTACTCACCTGGAAGCCATCGCTCATCGTCTCGCCGAACCAGATGTGCTTCTTCTCCTTGGGGTTCTTGCTGAGGTACCAGTTCTTCTGGGCAATGTTGGCCTGGGTCGGGTAGACGCATGTCTCGCCTGTCTCCATGTTACAGTAGACCTTGATGGCATCCAGGTTGCAGCCTTGATTGGGGTCAATCCAGTATTCGCCTGTGGGGCAGAGAGAGGGGTGTCAAGGAGTGGGGAGGGAGGCAGGTGGCCACGATGGATGGAGGATGGAGATGAAGAGAAGCCATGAGAGATGGAGGAGGGAGGTGAGGAGCAGTCATGGAGGATGGAGGTGAGGAGCAGGTGGAAGGAACAGAGGACAGAAGGATAAGTGAGGGGGGAGAGGCAGAGGATGAAGGGATGGCGAGTGGAGGTGAGGAAAAGCCATGAGAGATGGAGGAGGGAGGTGAGGAACAAGTAGGAGGGATTGGGGGAGTGGGGAGGGTGGAGCAACAGCCATGAGGAGCAGAGGAAGGAGATGAGGAGCAGCTGTGAAAGATGATGAAGGGAAGGAGGGTGGAGGTGAGGAACAGGTAAGAGGGTTGGAGGTGAGAGCAACCATGAGAGACAGGATGGAGGAATGAAGGTGAGGATCAATCGGGGGAGTGGAAGAAGGATGGAGGTAGAGGGGACAGAAGGATGGAGGTGAGAGCATCCCAGAGGGACACAGGGACCGCTGGGGATACTGACCGCTCTTCCAGTCACCGTGGCACATCTTCAGGTCGCGGCAGGTACGGGCAGGGTTTTTGCGGGTGCCCTCGGGGCTGCGGATGTTCTCGATCTGTTGGCTCAGGCTCTTGAGGGTGGTGTCAACCTCCAGGTCCCGGTCGCGCATCACGTTGGCATCATCAGCTCTGTAGTAGCGGCCACCATCATGGGCCTTTTCCTGGGGTGGCTGGGGCAGGAAGCTGAAGTCGAAACCACCGCTGGGGGGGCCAGGAGGACCAGGGGGGCCAGGTGGGCCAGGGGGACCCTGCAGGAGGAGGAGGTTGGTGAGCAGGAGATGAAGGCAGGCAGCTCTGGGCAGGAAGAGGCAGAGGAGCTGATACATACAACAGGGCCGACGTCGCCGGTGCGACCACGGGGGCCGGGGGGGCCGATGGGGCCGGGAAGCCCGTTGAGACCGTCTTTGCCAGCAGCACCAGCAGAACCGGGAGGACCCTATGGAGGAGGAGAAGGGGTGA